GCAACTCGCTTTTTGAAAGAGAAAACTGAGTTCACAAAATCCAGACAGCCAAATGGCTGAACACGTTAGCAGCTTGTTTGCCCCCATAGACTTCCTGACTCTCCTTCTGATCAGCTGCAGTCCTGCTCAAAGCAATGTCCTTACCCATCCCAGCTTGCAGTGTGATTTCATGCTTCCAGGCATTGGCATGCCAGGTGCCAGACACCCTGCGAGGTCCCCCAGATGCCCTGCCAGCTTTTCTGACCAACAAATTCCTCTGCGTCTGGACAGAGATGTTACTCTGATGGCCACTGTGATTTTCTCTTTTTCCTGGGATCCAGCAGCGCCCTGTTCACACCTCAAAAACAGCACTTACTTGTCCTGTTTGCCTGTGGTTTCCTCTGCTAAGGCCACACCTCTGCCTTCTGTGTTTTTTCCCACAGTGTCTCATACCGTACTTTAGAAGAGGGAACATTTATAGAGCACCTACACATTTTGGACACTGTTCCAAGTGTTTTATGTGCAATAACTCATAGGCAAATTGTAGTGACTCTCTGTAGCCATCATTCATATTACAAATGAGAAAACTAAGATGAAGTTGAGTCACTTGTCAGGGGTCACACACAGATAGTAAGCAATAGGCCAGGAAGAATTAGACCTCAGCCAGCTGGATTAGAGCCCAAACCCTTAACTGTGCCAAAGGAACGATGCCATTCACGAAGGGACACACTGACCGTCATGCAGGTTGTTAGAGTGCATGCAGCTGTGTCTACAAAAGCTAGGCTCAGCATACAGATGTAATTTACGTGAGTAAAGTATCCATAGGATGTAACGGATCCTTGCCACCATCCTCTGAGAAGGCTTTCTCCTGCTCCACTGTGCCTTATTTTCTTTTTGAGACCGATTGTTTCCTTACGGTCATCAGTGGTACTTCCATCCGGACAGAACGAACCCAGGGCAAGGCCTGACGGGAGGAGCAGGAGCCATCAATGAGAGCAGACCTCAGAAGGCCAACAGAGGTGAGAGGAGTGCCATCCACAGCCCCATCCTCTGGATGCTGTGGGCAGAGGTCCACAGAATGCTGCCCCTTGGAGTGAGTCGGTAGCAGAGCGCTTGCTGATGGCTGCAAATGCCCCGTAAAAACGTGTTTGGGATGATTCTTGGACCTGGTTTTAATTTCTTTTCTGCCAGTCAGCAGTTGTGCTTGACTCACAGTTTGTTGCCATCTCCTGAATTAAATTCAGGAAACAGGAAAAAGATCAGAACCACATTGTAAAGGCGTCCTTATGGTTCCTTTTTTGCTAAGATAAATAATGGGCAGCTCTGATCCACTTCTCTGGAGAGCTCGGAACACACTACCAGGAGCTCCTAGCTGCAGAGTGAGCACAGGCGGCTGGTCTCTAGATGAGGAAAGACAGCAGTGTCCAATCTACCCTGCTTTGCACAAGCCCCAGGTGCTCTCCCAGACTGTGTTGCTACGTAAAGCACGTGGCGATTGTGTGATGCTAACCAGAGCAGCCCCTCACTCATTAGAAACATCTGCTTTGTTTTATTTACACAAGAAAAGCTTTTCCTTTTACTGAGCCCACCCAGTTCAAACTTAAGTGGGATTTGCCAACTATCTGGCTAATTTTATTTTCATGAGCAATAATAAAGATTGGTGAACACTTGGTTTTTGTATAACTGTAATCAATTTTGTGTTAAACTTAGCTTAAAAGAAATTTATCTTCATAAGAAAAATAGACAGACTTTAGTGAGGACTAATCAACTAAATGCCTGACCAGCGTTCTTCAAAACTGTCAAGGTTATCAAAAACAAGGAAAATTTCAGAGATCATCACAACCAAGAGGAGCCTAAGGCGACAAGGTGACTAAATGTCATGTGGTGGTCTGAATGGGGTCTTGGACCAGAAAACAGGATCCTAGATAAAAACAGGAAATCCAAATAATGTGTGGATTTTAGTCAATATGAATGTATCAATATTGGCTCATTAAATTGTGACAAATGTTCCACACCAACGAAAGATATTAATAACAGGGGAGGCCAGGTGTGGAGCATTCAGGAACTCTCTCAACTATAGTCTCAACTTTTGGGTGAGTCTAAAACTGTTCTGAAATAAAAAACTTTATTTAAAAATATGTAATGAGGCTGGGCACAGTGGCTCATGCCTGTCATCCTGGCACTTTGAAAGGTCGGGACGAGAGGATTGCTTGAGTCCAGGAGCTCGAGACCAGCCTAGGCAACACGGTAAAACCCTATTTCTACAAAATATACATGAGCAGTATTACTGCTCATGTATTCTACCACGCGCCTGTAGTGGTGCTAAGGAGGTTGAAGTAGGAGGACCACCTGAGCCTGGGGAGGTCAAGGCTGCAGTGAGCTGTGATTGTGCCAGTGAACTCTCCAGCCAGGTGACAGAGTGAGACCCTGTCTCAAAATAAATAAATAAATAAAAAATCCCACTATCTGTATACATATGTAAATTAAGAATGAAATAGAAACTTCCATAATCTCACCTTCTCTGAATTTTGGAATTGTGTAAAAGTTGTCCCAAACCAATGATAAGTAATAGCCCATGTTTACCAAGTGCCGACTACATGTCAGTGTGCTAAGAACTTTACGCGTTACTCATTTAATTCTCACAAAGATCCTATGGGGTAGGTACAATCATTAGCCTACTGTACAGATGTAGAAACTGAGGCATAGCACCGTTAAATAATTTGCCCAGCTCAGAAAGCAGCATTTGGTTGCAGAGCTCATGTACTCTATCACTGCTCTGTACTGCACAGAGCGGGGCCGCAAATGAAGGGACAGTCATGAGTTCGTTAAAATTCCAGGACCGTGAACACTGGGGTGTAGGATATGCTGGTAAGAGGGCTGGGACATTCAAGGCCTGAGTGACTTCTCTGCATCTGTATACACAGCCTGGGAGATGTGCCATTCATTTGTCATCTGATGATAATATAATCGTGAAAAATCATATTCTTTGAAGGATGATTAATTAGTTTGACAAATCTGAGATTATGACAAATGACTTAGAAGGGAAAGAATCAGTCATACCCTGGACTTAGCCCCATATGGACTTCCTCTCACAGGCCACTGCCCACTCTGCCTGCGTCTTCGTGCCTCCTCAGGGCAGCCTCTCTGTGTCTAAGCAGCCCACCTGCAAGCTCCATCTAAGGCAAAAGGAGCCTACCACTCCTCCAAGCTGGTTCTCCCCATCTTCTCTCATAAAACCAAGAGCACGTTCTAGAATAACTGTTGACATCAGCTTTTAACCCTGATTTGCAGGTTCGAACACCTGTAGGCAGGTGAGGTTCACTCTCTCCAAAAGTAGCCCATCCTTGTGGTCACAAGAGCCTAGAAGACCCAAGACCCATTTGCAGAGCTCTCTAAGGCTCTCCACATCCTAGCCAATGGCTCCCAAACGTGGGGTTGTTATGAACTCCCTCTGCCTCCCTGACAGATTGATCCACCCGCAAGTCCTGGCATCCCTTCCCCTAAGGTTCATCTCCAACCCTCCGCCCCGCCCCCACTGTCTGCCTCCTTGCTGCCAGCATTCCACTGGAGCCATTCTCACTTCCTGCTTGGACTGCAGCATGGATGCTGTGGGAACTCTAGAAGCTGCAGAGGGATGCTGGCATGCCGTGACTTGTTTGAGAGTCACAATAGCACTGATATTTTTGTTTCCCACTGCCTGGCTTGTCTGGCTCTCAGCTGTTTCCCAACTTTGATGATGGAAATGTTACATCTTCAGGCTCTGTTCAGCTCAGCCTCCCTCTGTCTAAGAACCCTGCCTGCTTAGAAAGAAGTTTTATTAATTCCTCCAAATCTGCATTTATTTACTAGAATTGCATGATACGTGCATTTTTAACACACATAGAGGAGGACACCCATACATATACATGTTTATGTATTAATCTGTATAGATTTAACATAAATACACTTTAAATATACAGATATATAGATTGATACTTCTGCAGATGATTTTTAATTTATTGACCTTGCCAGATAACCCTTTCTCATCTCACCTTCCCCTCTTCCCATACTGAGTCCTGGAGCCTTCAAACCACAGCCACTTCGTTAGATCCTGGCTGGCTGCAGCCATCTGCGACCTGCTTCACCCCTGCCAGGGGTGAAGAACCAGGATGGTTCTTCCTCCTGGTGTTTGTCCCCTTCCCCCCTTCCCATACTGAGTCCTGGAGCCTTCAAACCACAGCCACTTCGTTAGATCCTGGCTGGCTGCAGCCATCTGCGACCTGCTTCACCCCTGCCAGGGGTGAAGAACCAGGATGGTTCTTCCTCCTGGTGTTTGTCCCCTTCCCTTTGGGCATGATGTTCTCCATGCTGTGGTGGGGGAAGCTGTATGTGTCCTGGGGTCCCAAAACTTAGAAGGCTGGGAGAATGGGACTTAGTCCAGCCTCTGGCCTCTGCTAGCATATTGTCAAACTACAGGGTGAGGCAGCCATGCTGGAATGACCCTGACTTGAGAGGCTATGCCAGCAGACCCAATGGCTTGTTAGGACTCCTTTCAGTCACTTCCAAGAGTTACTGCCCATTGGACCCTGTGTCCCCAGGAGCTGCTCTTATGGAGAGGAGCTGTCAAGGGGGGCTTCAGAGAGCTTCTAATAGGCCTAGAAGGACCTCCAGAAGGCAGCCATTGAGCTTGGGTGTGGAGAGTAAGCCAGAAAGACCTCAGTGTCAGGGCCCCCTGCCCATCTGCCTCCCAGATGATGTCAGCCTTGATGACCCAAGGAGAGGATACTGGCCTTCAGCATAAGTCTCTCTGTTCTTCACCTGGGAAACCTTGTGTGGGGCTAAAACAAAACCAGAGTCCAGTGGTGGTGTTGGGAAGATATGTCATGAGGTGGGGTCAGGAAGAGAACACCACGATTTTGCTGTGTGTACAGAAGGTAAAATGATGGCTGAGAGTCCAGGAGCGTTCACCTTCAGTCACAAGTGTTTCTGCCATTCACAAACCAGATGTCTTAATTAAAATGCTACTAAAGGAAGCAAATCAATTAGCAGATCACATACAAGATGGTTCATTTTATCTTACACACAGAAAATTGCTTATGAGTATCGCATTACCACTCTTGGTTATCAGTTAACAAAGGCTGCTAATGAACAGCATCGTTATCAAGTCGGATAAGAGATGCCCTGGGAGTCCAGGCAGATTATGACAACACAGCACTTTGTTCTGAAATATAGCTCATCTTTCATCACACATGAGGAGGACAGCCCAGTCCAGCAGAGTTCCTGGAAACTGGAAAGGCAAAGAATATTCCGTGATGTGACCCCCGAAACACAGGGTTAATATCACAAAGGAGAGAAATGCTCATTGGGCCTTAGCGTGGTGGCAATTGCAGAATGACGTGGCTTTCCTGAGCCTCCACCAGTCATGTCTTTTATGCACCAGCCATTCACATTGTAATAATAACCACAAAATAATTATATAAGGAGAACAATTATAACTTACATTCATGGCCCTCTACAAGGCACGGCATCTGCTTTCTCATTTGGTCCTTCCTTAGCTCCGTCCTTTGAATGTCTGAGAGCAGCAGGCCCATCCCAGGAACACCAAAGGCCTTCCTCCAATGCTAGCCCAGCCTGCCATTTCTGCTCCAGGAAGCCAGTATTCATTGATAGGGCTGGAGACTGTCCCAGGGACCCCATGTTTCAGGGCTCCTGAATCTTTAGAAAGGGATCTCCTGGCAGTTAAGAAGGTGAAGCTAATCATTCAACAAAGTACTGCCTAACTGTTAATAAGATGGCGTGTGTAGGAAGCTGTGTGTTGGGTCCCATTCCCTTTTCCATGAGCCATTTTCTGTGGTAGGTTCCACGAACATGGACACCACGCCCTTGCATAAGCATGAACAGCTCTAACACAGGGTGAAGTTTGAGATGTCCATCTTTTCCTACTGCAGGCTAAAGTGCTCAAGCCTCCCTCTGTGTAGTCCACTTCTTGCGGAAGAGGAGTGATATTTTCATTCAGGACGAAGGCACTGTAGATTCTATTCCTTCTATTATTTTCCTCCAATATTCAGTCCATGTGAAAGTCTATTACCATTACTTGAGTGTTCAAATGCAGAACATTCTGAGACGGTAACTGTGGGCCCTTGTCCACAGGGCTGGACCCCCTCTTCTCATGGCTGCTCACCTACAGCTCAATCACCTGTGCCTCTCTGGAAAGGAAGAGAATCGTCTAGAAGACTTATTGACAGAAGAACTATGCTCTAATTATTGCATGTGTTTATGCAACTCACACAATTAAACAGGTATAAAAGAGCTCATCAGCAAAACCTGCAAGGTGGGACACTTTCTTGTGCAACACAGAAAAGAACCTGAAGGCCGGTGGCTTCTGGGTAAAGGGAAGGGCTCAACCTGGAAGTTGTTTTCTGCCTGCCAAACCCGAGGCAAACAAAACCTCATCCACTTTGATGACAAAAAGAGAAGTCATTCCTTGAGGTTAATAGGCATATTTTGGGGAACGTGTCATTTTCTGTAGTTGATTAATTTGCACAGATCTGGGCAAATGCTACAAGAAATAAGGTAGGCAGACTATGAGAATGGAACTGGAAAATAATGCCTTCACATCTGAACTACAAGCTGTTACAAAGGGCGAGACTTCTCCATACTTGGTGTACCAGCTCTGATGGAAGGGAAGGGCAGCATAAGTGTCTAAAAAAGAGGAACATGGAAGAGAACAACAAATCTGAGTCAACAAACCATATCCTGATACAATAGAGCTTGCGCTGAAAGTAGGATGCAGACCCTGCTACGGACCTCACTTATACCTCCATGCCTTGAGACCAAATTCACACCCTCACAGTAGTCTCACATAGACATCTAGAATATAATAAAATGGTATATATGCTTACATTGAATAATGCAAAATTGTTTATGACTTTCTATTGTGCATATTCAGTCACAGTCTCCTGACAGCTAAGTTCTCCCCATGAGAGACCAGTCAGCAACATCAGGAAGGCAGGACAGAGTGAAGCATCTTTGGGACAAGCCACGTCAAAGGACATAAAACAGAAAGCCCAGGCCGGGCACGGTGGCTCACACCTGTAATCCCAGCACTTTGGGAGGCTGAGGCGGGTGGATCATGAGGTCAAGAGATCGAGACCATCCTGGTCAACAAGGTGAAACCCTGTCTCTATTAAAAATACAAAAAATTAGCTGGGCATGGTGGCATGTGCCTGTAATCCCAGCTACTCGGGAGGCCGAGGCAGGAGAATTGCCTGAACCCAGGAGGCAGAGGTTGTGGTGAGCCGAGATCACACCATTGCACTCCAGCTTGGGTAACAAGAGCGAAACTCCATCTCAAAAACAAACAAGCAAACAACAACAACAACAAAAAGCAGAAAGCCCATATTTGCCTACCCTATATTTGAGGACCAAGGACATGGGTCAAGGTCAGGGATATGGAGCTTGATGGCAGTAGAGCCAATGTTAAAGACAAGAAAGACATTGGAGACAAGCAAGATATGGCGAGAGGAAGTGGCGAGAAAAGTGAAGGAAGGGATTCCAAGCAAGGTCTCAAATGCTGTCAGGGGTTTGTTTCTCCTTTAAAGGGCGGAGGGTCCAGAGGAACATGGGGTTTAGGGACCCAGGGGCTGAACAGAGGGTTCATCCTTCCTAGTGTCTTTAACAAGCCCTGCATTAAAAGGCCCCTTCAGGTGTTGAAAAGGAAGGGCTCTAAAGAGGTTGAAGCTAGCCAGGTTTGCATTTGAGATACCAATGCCCAGAGTGGACAGGCAGCCCAGGAGAGCAGCCTCCTCCCACCCCTGGCTGCCCTGAGCAGAAGAAGGGGCACTGCTGAGCTAACTCATCGATGAAGTTGTTCTCTGACAGGTAGTGATACCTCTGCAGATGGATGTGTCACCAGCCACCAGAGAGCCAGGCACAATCTGGCAAAACAAGGGAAGGCCAGTAGCATCTGGGGTAGCATCTGCTGGCTGAACTAATAGGTGAATTAGGCTGCATAGTACTCTAGGCTGGCATAAAGAGAAAGAGCAAGAGAGTGTTTCGTACCATACGATTTAGCGGCTACTAAACCCAGATCTTTGACCACATCCTCCAAGAATCACATAGACCAAAAAGGAGAGAAGGAGAACAACAAAAACAGAAGTGAAGCTAATGATGACGGTGCCTATACATTCTGGTCAGCACTACGGTGCATCTGTTTAGGATATATTAATGCCTACTAATACTAAAAAAAAAAAATCTCTGGCAAAATCCAATACATATTTCTGATTTTTAAAACTCAGTAAAATAGGAACTGATGAATGCTCATTAACATGATAAGTTATATGTGCTTCAGCTCTAGAGACAGCATCTTACTTCCCAGGGACCACTAGTAGATTTCCCATCAACGCCTGGCAGAGGCATGTTGTATGCACACTTTTTCCACTATTATTTAACATTGGTGTTTTAGCCAATGCAATCAGAGAGGAGAAAACAATTAGAGGCATAGGAATTTGGAAAGAAGATCTGTATTTTGGCAGACGACAAATTATTGTGAAAACTCAAGGGACGAAGAAGAAAACAGATAAACAGTAAAAGCATTCAACAAGGCAACCACTATAACATTAACATAATCACCCAAAATCAAAATACAATCAATGACTAGGTAGGAGACGTAATGGCAAAAACTCCATTTTGAAAGCAGCAAAGGCAAAATACTTAGGAATAAATATAACAAAAAGTGCAAAAACTTTTAAGAGTGAAATCGGAAAACTCTCCTGACACACACAAAAACAGAAACACACAAAAGCAGATAATTTTTATGAAAAAATTACCTTTTTTCCATGGAGAGCCACTTAACATTGTGAAGAAGTAAATAATCTTTGACTCAATATATAAATGTAATGTAACCCCAATTTAAATATCAAGATGTTTGCCTCTTTTGTGTGTGTGTGTTATTTTTATTTTCTTTACTTTGGTCTATACAAAAACCCAATAACCAAAAACACAAAGCAATCATAAAACTCTCCACTGGGACCCCCCACTCCAGCCCCCACGCCATGAAAGACTTTTGTTTCTGTAGAAAGAGTCTGTAGTTGATTCAATAATAGCTGGAATAGAATCGCAAGAATGTCCCCTGCAAAGGAAGCACAAGGTGTGTGCGGGTGGAGGAAACCAGCCCTAACAGAAGGTAGATCATACTAGGAAGCCTCTCTAGGTAAGAGTGTGGCACCAGCATATCGATAACCACAAATACCAGTGGAAAATAAAATCTAGAAATATCCTAGTACATATAGTCATTTAGAACATTATAAAAGTGGCAAATGAAACACTGGGGAAATAGGGTGGTTTTAAAAAATAGTATCAGAATAATTCAGTTGCCATTTGGGAAAAAGACAAAATTGGATCTGTAACTCATACCACAAACCAGAAGAAATGGCAAATGGATCAGACATCTAAGTAAACAATAAAACCATCCAAGTGCTGGAGAAAATATATAGGCACACACACACACACACACACACACACACACACACACACACATATGTAAACATTTTCTAATTTTATTTTAAAATTTAAAATTTTAAAATAAAATTAGAAAATGTTTACATATAGATGTATATATGTGAGCATACATATTTTCTATATAAAATTATTTTTCATTAAATATATTTCTATAAAAGTAACACATAAAAAACAAACCAGAAACTATTGAAAATAGCAACTTCAAAGCAGTAGGTAGGAACAGGGTGGAGTGGACAGTTATAGGAGACAGACTTCTCTGAGTTTATCTGTTCACACAGTTTATCTCTGAATCGTGTACATAACAAGAAATTCAGAGATAAACAGTGTAAACAAAACTATATAGTTAAAATTTGAAAAGATTATAACAGGAAACAGTAAAATAGAATACACACTAAAACAAGTGTTTCTGACTATCCAGTTGATAGCATAACCACACAGAGAATATAATTAATTCCATTTGAATACAATATGCTGGCTGTAAACGCTTGCAGGGCTAACTTCTAAGGGCAAAAGCCGCTGCAAAATGTGCAAGTTTATTGAGCAGGTCTATAGTTGTACAGTGCTCTAATTTCTGGAAGTATTTTGTGTGCATTATAGAATAGAGAAAATGAGGAAAAATATTATGTAGTTGAAAGCTGGGTTTTTACTTTGGAGAAGGAATGGGGAAAGCTTAGGAAAAATCTTATGATATTGAATTTGTAATTAAAATACGTATTTCTTGACTGTCCACTGAAAGGGTGTAGAAGCAATGGCACCTCAGTAGTACACATTGTGCCCTGATCTTGGTTTCTAAAAATTATTCCATAGTAAAAATTAAAATAAAATGAGAGAAAGAGAGAGAGACAAACAAGGATGCTTGGGAAAATTAGACCCTTGTGCTGCCCTTGGGAGCAGGACAAGGTGAGGCTGAGGTGTTGTGTTGTGTCGGAAGCCTAGCATGTGCTCAAAGATTAACAGGATTCTGTCAAAAGGGCACAGAAGCCACCAAGAAGTGACTTGCACTGGCCAAATTTGAGACAATTCAAGCATCAGAAAGGATCATGATGGTAATGGATTAAAATGCATTGAAAGCCACAGTAACATCTTCAACAAATAGGAGAATAAGAAAGAGAATAAAAAGGCTTTCTTCTAGATGAATGTCAGCTATTAAATACAAAAGAAATCCTGGAATTAGAAAGTCAATATTTTGTAATCACCAATGGCAATGACTGCTTCAAGCAGGATCACGAATAGATATAAAAATCATTAGGTGAGGAATTGTTGGGGGTCAGAATATTCACATAGTGTCAAAGTGCCACCCCTCATATTACTCACGCATCTCAGAGGGGAAAATTCTAATCTCTACAAATGCAGAAATCTAGTGGTCACTCCCTTAACCAAGCAAAGGAAGCATCACCAACAGTGACTCCATATGACGAAAGATACACAGTATAATTTTGTGATATTCCCGACCAAAAACTTCAATCTGAATCTACTCCAGAGGAAATGATTAGACAAATCTAGAAAATGGGACACTGTATAAGACAACAGGCTGAGGGGCTTCTCAGTCAACAAGCCATAAGGATCAAAGGCAGAGGGGTTACTCAACACTGAAAGAGAGTTAAAGAAAAGACAAAACAAACACAACTCTTTTTCTGGATTGTAAGATAGCACAATAAAAAAATACAGCAATAAAAGATACTTCTAAAATAACCAGAGAAATTTAAACATGTACTATATAATAGATGATACTAAATTTGCATTAATTTTCTTAGGAGTGGTCATTGTATTGTGATTATACACAGTAAGAGACACAATGGTGCTGTATTCAGGGGTGAAGTATCATATCTATACTAATTAGCAAGTAGGTCAGCCAAAAAAGGCTTATGTACACAGAGATAAAGCAAAGGGGGCATCATGTTAATGAAGGGTGATTGTCGGGTTCTTTCAACTTTTCTTTGGATCTGAAAGTTCTTCAAAAAGCAGGAGAGTGAGAGAGAGGTCAAGAGACCACCCCAGGCCTGTATGATCATCCTGGGCTGGTCAGATAGGGAGTAAATTCTCAGTGGGTTCACCACATGCACAGGGCATGAGGTGAGGAAAAACCAAGCTGGGGAATGTGGATTGTGAAATAACAATCCTCAAAATCCTCGTGAAGATGCCTTTATTCCTAGGAATCTTCATTCACAGGCTCATTCAGTCAGGGTTCTGAGATCCCGTCCCTTCCTGTGGACCAGCCCTCCACTTGTGGGCTTAGTCCATTCTGAGACCCCAAAGCAGCACTGAGATGCAAATACCCAGTCAAATCTAGCATAATGACATGAAGAGATGTTTGGGAACTTTTCATCAAATGGACTAAATTGGCTAGTTATTAGATTGGGCACTATAAAAGGATAAGTCTTGGAGAATGAAAAAAAGTTTATCCTATTAAAATCCCATATTCTCAGCTCTACCTGGGCAAATGCCCCACAGCTTCAGTTTAAATCTTGCCAAGTTCCACTATGTCCCAAGGTGATGCTGATTCCTGGTCTCACAGCTGTTCTGGCATGAGGGCTCCTGGCCATGGCCATACCTGCCCATCCCACGTGACCAGGGTAAGGGAGAGGCCATGCTGAAAACCCATGCAGCCCCATGGAGCAGCACCTGCCTGTCCTCCTTTTAGTACAAGTGATCACTCTCATGACTCACCTTTCGGAGAAATTGTGGTTTCGCCTGCAAAACAAGATACAAGGATGTTCATTGCCTAAGTCTCAGACGACAGAAAGCAATGCAAAGCTTGCTGCCGGAGAGTGGCTTGTCTTGTCATTACCTTGCTCTTTGGGGTCTGATTTTCTTATGACTCAGCCTGACTCCATCTAGTGTTAGTTTTGGAAACTTGAATCCTACCTCTCCTCTCTGAAAGTCCCTCTATTTGCAGAGGAGCTCTGTTACGGTATACTTGCCAAGAACAGCTCCCTACATGTGGCGAGGGCAATGCATTAATTACCAGGGGTATAAACTCCCATCCGGCCATTGCCTCCCAGCCCCACTCTCTGCTGGCCTTGATTTCTTGCCTTCCTTACCCACCTGCTTCCTCCAGCAACCCTTCATGTTTTTTCATGAACTCTCCTTTCAGAAAGTTTATTATTGAATAACTATTGAAGTCATCTTTCCTGGATTATGGAAAATGCCTTGTATAGCCCTGATGGCTCAAAATAACCCGGAACTTCCAAAAAACACATATAGCAGAGATGCTTCTCTTAGATGACCACGCATAAGGACATAAAAAGCACAGTGACTGTTCATTCAGCAGTGTTTTCAAATGGGCTTATCTTGTATTGCTCACAGCAGCATCTTCCCATGTATGGCAGAGTCCATCATGAATGGCCACATGGACATACATACTCATATACACAGGCACTGCATGCACACACACACCAGGATTAAGGATCAGCTTTTATGAAACTTTATTCTATGTGAAGGCTATGGCTAAGATGTCCCTGAAGCATAGTCAGCTCCAAGGTCTGCCAATTTGCAAACCAAAGTGCTTTAACTCAAAGTGCCCCTCAATGTGTACCCGCAGTTTGGATGGTCAAGGTAGCATCGCTGTGCTGACTAGAGCTCCAGCCCATTACAGCCCTCCCTGTGGTGTGGTCTTGTGCTAGAAACTCCATGTGTTTCAAGATTCCTGACCACAGGGCCTGAGCTGGTCACAGCAGTCTGTGTCCTCTGCCTGGGTACCTAAGAACCCAGCAGAGGGCCTCTGAGGCCACGTAGTGCCCAGGTCTTCACCATGGCCAACAGCCCATCCATTCAAAACAGGCTCCTCCTGCACTCCTCACCACAGACGCTACCTAGACCCACAAAGGCAACAAAGGTCCTAGGGGGTCAATCCTTCTCACCCTTCCGGACTCAATCCATGGCCTCCTCATGTTCCCCAAGAGCCCTGTGTGAAAATCCTGGTAACGGTCAGTCCACTCTGATTTTACGGTGGGAGAGGCTGACTCAGCACTCAACCCCCAGCCATCTGAGTCATCGGGGACCGGGACACCCTCCTGGCCAGGCGCCGCAGCTGTATACTCAGGAGAACCTGTCTTTGTGCCAAGCCCCCTAGGGCTAGAAGAAGACAGAGCTGCCCCAGGGTGAAGGTCCCTTAGGACTGGGGGTGGGAGGAGGGGCATGAAGAGCTGGCCAGCATGGAACTCCGCTCTCCCACATCAGTGGATTTGGTGGCACTGGGAGCTGTTCAGCATATTTCTTCTATAGAAAAGAATGTGACTACTTCAGCCAACATGGGTCTGTGTGTGTGCGTGTATGTGTGTGTGTGTGAGAGAGAGAGAGAGAGGAGAGTGGTGGGGGAAAGAGAGCGAGAGAGAGAGAGAGATGGGAAATGTGGCATCTTTAGTCCCTCAACCTGAAATAGCCCCAATTCCACCACACATTTCCAAAAGCCCCCGAAAGCTGGTTGCCTGCCCTGGGTGCAGAGAATGTGACATGGCCAGCAAAAGGAGTCTGTGTGGCCACCAGGGCCTGGAGACTTCACAGGCCCTCTCAGCCTAGGTTGACACACATCCCTGTTTCCCAAGGATGGTCCAGGCTCTTGTCCATCATCCTGGTGCAACTTTTACAGAGCCTCTTCTCATTCTCACAAAACCCTGTCTTGGATGATAAGTTATAAGGTCACCCTAACTACACCCTGTCTTCTCTAGCCCAGGGCCCATTGGAGTGACAACATGCTTGGGGCAGGGTGACAACATGGGAGGGGACAGAGAGAAGGAGAGTGAGAGTCAGAAACAGAAGGAGAGATGGAATGCTGGGTGGCCGGGTTGATGAAATATGCGTTAATGCGTCACCATCAGAAGCCACTGAAGAAAACTAGAATATCTGAAGGAGGAGAAATCCTCCTAAAAAAAAAAAGTGAACTAAGAAAGTCCATATCCAGCTCATTCCAAGGGCATGACTTCATGAGGGCTGACAAGTCCTGACCCGCAGCCACAATGCGCATGCATCTACCCCTCATGCAGCCGTTAATCCATCCGTTCCTCCAGTAGACACTGCTTGGAAGTTACCCAATCCCAGGTCCCATGGAAGAACCGGAGGGTGAGACTGGGTTCTGGGTACCTTCTAAAAGCCACTACCCCTGTGTCAGCCCAGACCTCTGTCCTAAATGCCAGTCACTTACTAGACACCTCTAAGTGGAAGTATCCAGAAACCTCAAGCTCACCATGTTCAAAAGAATATCATCTCACCCAGCCTATTGCCCAAAGTTGCTCCCCCACCAAATTCCCAAAGGGCAGCAGCTCAGAAAAAAACTCTGAGCTGTTCTAAATTATTTTCTCTCCTCCAGTGGCTGTCCCGTCCCTCACCCCAGGTCCCTGGGCCAGCTCCTCCTTAACTTTGTTCCCATCTTTCATTTTCTCCATTGCCTCTACCCGGACTTACTCCGGTAGGGCTTTGCAACAGGCCCGAGTCTCTATCTGGACTTTCAGCACATCTTCCTGGCTGCAGCTGGGTCTCCTCCATGCTACCACACGACAAAAAATACTCTATCCCTCCTCTGCTTAGAATCCATCAGTAGGTGACCAGAAGTTTCAGGACAAATTCAGACTTGCTTAGCACAAGCCCTTCTGACCGTCCGTTGTGTAGAAACTACTTATCTCTCCAGCCCTTCCTTCCACATGGTCGCATGAAATACTTGCTTCTGCCACACTGCATGTTTTTCAGCTGCAGGTTTTACCCATGATGTCTACATAAACTAGGGTTCCCTCTGCCTTTGTGAGCTTCTCTTAGTCCTTCGGCATGTAACCTGAGGCTCCCCTGCACCTCCCAGTGGCTATGCAGCCCTCTGTACCCCCAAGACACAAGGCAACACATGCTCAGCCTGTCATAGCCCTCCCAGGACCCCCACCACCCCAAGTGTGCAGCCATTACCTGGGACTTGCTTATCTCCCTTGTAGATGGGAGATTGTCCTACTTCTTTCTCTTTGACCCCCAGGACCTAGCCCATGGCCTCATGCCCATTTATTTATTCATTCAGTCAGCACACACGCAAGTACCTACTTTGCCCCGGCACTGTGCTAAGTGCTGGGTTACAGGGGTGAAAAGGAAGACCCTACCCTCCCAGAGCTTACATTTTAGAAAGAAACCCTTACAAAATAGACAAATCAATATATCATATAGCCTCAACTAGTTCAAGGAAATATAAAGAAAACTAAAGCCAGGCAAAGAGAAGAGAATTGTGGCTGGGGCAGAGGGGGCACTGTACTTTAAATAGACTCTCTATGATGCAGTAGTGACGCTGAAGCGGCGATCTGAAGGAACGGAGGGGCGAGGCTTGCAGCTTTCTGGCAAAGAGCATTCCAGTGACAGAAAACAGCAAGTTCAAAGGTCCCTCGGCAAGATGGTCCCTGAGGACATGGGCTCTGCACAGAAAAGCAGGGTACCTGGATGCCAGCCGAGAAGCCAGGAAACCTGGGACAAACCACGTGTGCCCTTCCAAGTGACAGGGGCTGGAGACCTCATTCTGAGTGGTGGGTTATGCACGGAAGGAGTCCGAGTGGGGGTGGGGCGGGACCTAATCCAGGGTGTGCAAAGGCGAGCCCTTCTTCCTTTGACGATCGCGTCATGTGGCCCTCACTCTGGTGGCACCTTCCCACTTGTCTAGAGGAGGACAAAGGGGAAGGAGGGGGCCACGGGGTGCATTCTAGTCACCTGGAAAGTGTGCCAGAGTGCAGAGAGGGCTGAAGATGACAGGCAAGGGAGTGGCATGACCAAGACAGGAGAGAACGCAATGCCCTCCCTGACTGTGTGGGTGGTGGCCTTACCTTGGGGCTCTCTTCTTTAGCGGGTCAGTGTCTAAACAGAGAAAGCCAGGTATTAGGAAGGAGGTCCTGTGAGGAGAGGTGTAGAGCATTCCCTAGAACCTTCACCTCCCCCTCCTGGGTCCTCTCATTCACAGCTAAGAGATCTGGGGCCTGGTTGCTGTGTGGTGAAGAGGCTGTTCCCTCCCCTTATTTGTAGGGATACGAAAGAATAAGCAAACTCAAGGATTAGCAAACTCCCATGACCTATTAAGCCCCTCGGGTGATGCACACGCCAGCATTTTGGGAAGCTTCCTCCTCTCCTGGCCCAGACCAGCCCCTTCTGCTTATCCTCACAGATCATAATCACATCTTCCAGAAAGACAGTGGGGTTCTGTCCTCCCATGAAGCACCCCATGGAAAACTGCACTATCATTGCACTGAGCTGTCTAATACAACAGAGGATGAGTTTGGGGGTGACACCCTGAGAAGGGATGCAAATCAATACTGCATTTCAGGTGCCAAGGAGGTGGAGGGCTGTGCCACGATGTGCGTCAGCCAGCTTGGTTTCTATCTGAGGGGCTACTCAGTACTGTTCTGAGAAGGACTTTTCCAATTTATGAAAAAAAAATGCATCTTGACCCACACAGGCATTGTGAACAGAACCTCCCACCTCCGACCCACATTTAGGACCGGCCTCGCTGCCTCCTGGGACCGGGTTCCTCTGATCGCATCATTTGGATGAGAGAACAGAAATTTCTGTGTGACACCAATTTCAGTTCTTCTCCCACCTTTCTCTAGGAAACGTGATTCTCAGGAATACCAAGAGCAACTGAAAGGAAAAGTACAGAAAACAGAAAGAGACAGAGAAAGACAGAGAGACAGAGATAGAGAGACAGGAAAAGGAACACAAATAGAGAGACAGAGAGACAGAAGAAAGAGAAACAGAGGCAAAGAGATAGGGAGAGAGACAGGGACACGGACACGTCACTGCCTTCCCTTTCAGCCTGTCGGGCTCTGCCCTTATGGGTTCGTTCTTGCTGTAGCCAGCATCAGGGAGTGGCCCTGGGTGCCTTGCTGGATGGGGCAGAGCCAGGCCTGAGCACCACACCCCTCACCATTGAGGCCCCCAGGCGGGCTTCTCAGGTCGGAAGAGTTGTCGTCAAACAAGTGCCTTCTGATCATGCAGATCTTCAGGGCCAGGAAGCCGGCAGTTATGGCGATGCCCACAGCAGTCCCGATGAGAGCATACTTGAAATCTGAAACACGGGGAGGAATTGAACACGGGCTTCAGTCACCTGCAGTTCCCTCTACGTTCCAGATGAGGTCTAAAGCACGCACGTGGCCCGTAACACACCCTCCCCCCGGCAGAGGCCAGCCTCACCTTCCACCCTCCCGCGAGCCCCTTTGCTCCCAGGCTCTGCCCGCATCCCATCCCCTCCTTCCAAAGCTCCATCCCTGGTTCCTTCAGCTACAGAAATTGCTCCTACCTTTCAAGGCTCCCTAAAACTCACCCAGCTACCCCCACTCCAGATGGTGAGTAGCTCACTTCTCTGGCTGCCCTTCCTCACTGATCCCTTAGTTAATTCATCCACTCATCTACTGCATGTGTGTTAATTGCCTGCTCTGTGGTGAGCACTGCAGGAGAATGGATGAGGCCTGTGTGGTCTTTGAGGAGCCTGCAGTAGGCTGGGAAGGACAGGGAAGGAGCTCCTGATGGGAGAGGCCGGGCTGGCCTGGAGTCATGGCTCCCAGAGTCTTCTCAGAGGGTGAGGCCTGCAGACTGTGCCTAGCTGGCACGTGAGGCGCTTAAAGGGCAGAGAGACTGGAAGCTTGCAGGTGGAGGGAGGCACCGACCAGGGCCGTGAGCCCGGCAGAGCCCGCTCTCAGGGTGCACAGCAGCAGGATAGGGCTCTGTGGGTGCTGGAGCCACTCGTCTGTGGCCCTGAAGTCTCACATCCCCTGCGTGGACAAGATCTAAGGCGAGACCTTGTCCCGAGGATAAAGCTGTCAGCCCCTCAGGGGGCCTGGAGGTGAGGGTGCCCCTTTTCCTGTGCTGACAGCAGGGAACCAATTCTGCCAGGGCAGCCCTCTGCCTGTGTGTCTGGGGGCTCCTTCCTGCCCCGACCCTGTGTGCAGAATAGCATGGGCAGCCACCTACCGATTTCAGGCCCAGGGGGCTTGCCCGTTGCCAGCACTTGAGCTCCTCCTACATCTGCCAAGAAAGAAGCCCCAGAGCCTGGTTAGAACAGAGCGTGCTGTGGCCCCAGCCACCCAGTCTCACAGGCCTGGGAAAGCCTGCCCCAGGTACCTCCCAGAAGCACAGAGGTGGGTTCCCAATTGCCATGGAGCATCCTGGAGCCTTGCTGAGACATCAGAGCCCCCTCAAAACCCAGACCAGGAATGCATCTGCACCGAATACAGTTCAGTCAGCTGTTCAGCACAGTTTCCAAGACCAGCACTCTGACCCAAGCCTGCTCCACAGGCTCCACTGGGGCTCCCACGGCCCCGCTTAATCCAGCAGGGCTTCGGTGCTTCTCGTTCCCCACACAGCCAGGGCATCTCCTGCCTCGGGGCCACACCCTCTGCATGGCCCCATCTTCCCCTCCTCCCTTACCTGGTCTTGGCTCCATGCTACTTCCTCCCTGACTTCCCAGGCCTGGCTGAGCTGACTCCAGTGTGCTCCCCAGCTGTGGTGCTCGCCCGCCGTAACTGACCATATCGATATGCAACGCATTCACATAGCACTACTGGGCGCCAGGCACCATCCTGAAAGCTTCTGAGATATTAGCACATCAGTGTGTCTTCTGGCTGGTCTCAGCCTGAGATGCATGGTACAGCATCCAGCTCTCAACGCAGTGCTCAGCCCACAGGAGGCATTAATAGATGAGGAAGGAAGGAATGAAAGAAGGAAGGAAGAAGGAAGGAAGGAAGGAAGGAAGTGTGGGAGGGAGTGAGGGAAGAGCAGGCTGTAAGGGTCCCTCACTCTTCTAGCCAGACCTTGAAACCTTAAGACAGGAGACACTGGTCATAAATGGGGCCCTAGAGAGCAATCCAGAGGTGTGGGCCTTGAAGAGAAAAGTGCCCATTCATTGGCCACTTACTTTGAGGCAGACATTGGGTGTGACGCTGGCATTAATATATTTAATACTCACAGCAACAGCTCTGTGAGATAAGTGCGATTATTATTGCCATTTAAAAAATGAAAAACAGGAGGTGTCGAGGCCTTGCGAATGTGCAGAAGGGCCGAGAGAAGTGAGAGGTGACAGGTCTACACTGAGAGCCCAGGAAGGCCTGCAGACGCAAATGTGAATCCCAGGAACTGACAGATGCAATACCACCATAACTGTCAAGCCCCGGGGCTGCATGGGCTTGGGCTGGGGACAGGCAGACGGTGAGATCCAAGCCTGAGTCTCATGTTCACACTTCCAGGTGAAGGCAGGTGAGAATCCCACCACTCCTGTTTCTCACAAAGGGAAGCAAGTGACTTCAGTGGGAAAGACCAGATGGTATGACGGAAGAGGCATCACAGCAAAGACATTGTTCACCCAAGCCTGCCTGCTGACCACCCTCAGTGATGCCCACAGTGGCATAGTAGGTTGGAGCTCTGCAGGGGACAGCTTTGTTCTGTGTGTGTTTCGTGAGGAGAGGGATTGTCCCATTAGATTTCAGAATTTTTCTAGCAGCCTAACTTTGTAGACTAGTAAAGCTTCCCCAGGCTTGTTCTAAAGCAAAAGTTCCCAGCTTTGCTCTAATTACAGATATTTTTAGAAATTCAATGACTTCTCTTCTTTCTTTCCCACAGATCACAAGCCCTATGTGAGCACATCCACTCACACACACAGACACACAGACACCACCATGCACAAGATGGCCCTGATTTTGTCTGCTCTCAGAAACCCCAGTCAGCTTCATTCCATTATTTCGTTGTTTCCCTAAATCAATCCTGCTGCTCCAGCTCGGCTGAGCATCGCTCTGGACATGGGGCAAAGGCACACATTGGATGGAAGGCTGTAGGTGGCAGCATATTTCTGGACTGACGCCCCCAGCTCAGAGCTGTGTGTGCTACGTCCTCACGCTTTCCTGGGATGGGACCCTTTCTCAACATCTCTGACCTCTCTCTTTTACTGGGCAGAGGGCAGGCGGACAGGGGAGGAAAGGGCCTCAGTGGGTGGGGCCTGGTCCCTGAGCTCCAGCCTCACCCCATGCCCTCCCGCTGCCACACTAGCATGTTGCTTGCTTGCCCCTCTGGTCTTCCCTTGGTGGGCATTGCTCCCACCTGCAGCATCAGCATGGAGACTTCATGCTAGCCTGAGATGAAATCTGAGCAGAGAAGAAGGAAGGACACAGGTTAGAAAGGGTGAGAAAGACAGAGGTACACACAGAGACACTCAAGAGACACACTCAGGCTGTGCCTGAGCCACTCAGACCTTCCCTGGAAGGGAAGAGAAAGGAAGAGGAGAAAGTCCTAACATCAAAAGTCCCTAGCCCTGGCCTTGGTCTCCCCAGCAGCATCACAGTCTCCATTCTTGCCAAGCTGGCCTGCATCCTTCCTCATTGACTTCACCCCCCGGATGTGTCGTCCTGAACCCTCGGCTCCTTCTGCCCCTCTCTGTGGCTGGGACCCCTGGCTGAGGCTCAGCTCAGCCCCTCACGGAGTCCAGTTCCTTAGACACCATCCTCTATTTCCTACCCTGTGTCCCCTCCAAGCTGTGAGGCTTCCCCTAATCCCTGGCCCCAAAGAGGCTCTCCTCCCTCGGGTCTGATGTCAGGACTGAGTGAATTCCCACCGCCACTCCAACTCCACCACCAGCCTCACTCACTTGCAGGGAGACCAATGTGGGCAGCGAACCAAGCTGTGCACTTAAACAGGCAAAGGCCCAGCCCTTACTGCGAGCCAGCCCCATGGCCACTCGGCGGCAGCCTTTCCCCTCCTCAGGGAGGGAAATCCCTCCATGCAGCCCTCCTGTGCTTGGAGCTCTGACTCCACACTCATAAGCCCTTGGGTAAGGGTCTGTGCTCAGCACAGCAGCCTGGCCGGCCCTGCCCCTGCCTCCTACTGGGGTCATGAGCTGGGGAGGCCCCCCTGGGCCATAGACCCCCTGCAAGCCTCCAGGACTGGCTGATGTTCCCTGGCTCTGCGAAGTAGCTGGAGGACGGCTGGCCCTCGCAGGCCTGCTTAGACATCACAGCCGGAGGTCTCCGGAGCGCCCCGGCTGCATTTAGATCTGTGGGAGACCCCAGGAGGAAGCCAGTGAGGACCAGCAGGAGCTGCACTGCACTTTCTCTGTGGGAATTCTCCAGGATCTCATGCAGGAAGGAGCAGTGAGCTTGGCAGCCACAGGAGAGTCCTAGGGAGGGGAGGTGGGGCTGTGTGGGGCAGGCACCCTTCTAACCTATAGATTTGCTGAAGTCGTAGTAGGCACAGTTCTGGCCAAATCTGACTCCATCTGACTGCTACCACGAATTACACAGCCCTTGCTGCTGCCTAGAGCGGAGGGCAGAGGGCAGAGGGCTGCCTCCAGAAGGCCTGCTGAGATGTGGGGGCTTTCCACAGCTTCTACCTGCATAGCTTCCATCTGTGGTCAGATCAGCCCCTGGCCATAGGAGCTTTTTCTACCTTGCACAAAGGCACCCTATGGGCTCTTGATTCTAGAGTTTCTGCTTTCTCCCTGATGCCCCATTTGGACCTGGTACCCTGTGCCTCCCTGACAAAATAGTGGGCTCCAGCCTCCTCACTCCAGCATTCCCACCTCAGGCCTGCAGCACACAGATTGCTCTGTAAGTGACTTTCCCAACAGCAAGGAGTCCCCTGCAAGAGTAGATGGCCCTCTGTCTGATGGCTCCCCAGAAACATGAGAGGGCAGCCCCCCTGGTTCTTGGGGAGGAAGATGGCAGGGCTGCTCTACACAAGTTGAGATGAGCTATTTTGGAGAGAGCTGAAGGCACGGCCTAGCCTTGCCCCGTCTCACTTGGAATCTGACCTGCTGAGAGCCTATCCCTGGCATTCAGGCCTCTCTTAGCTGTCCACCTGTTGGGTCCACCCTCGATGGGGGACTGGCACTCTTTGCCACCCTTATTTGGGCAGAATCAGGCTGTGAGATTTCCAGTTGTGGGCCCGTAGGCGTGTGTGCACTAGATGCTGTTCTATAAGTATTTGAACTAAAAATAGGGAGAGGCTGCCTTAAGTGTTTGTCAATGATGCCTGGCCATAGTCATGTTGGGACTTAAATATTGCAGAATGGCTCCTAACTTTAGATCTCATGAATTCCAACATTCTCAGCTAGAGGAAGTGGCTTTGAATGTCTAGGACAGACTTCCTTAATCTAACAGGGCTCACACATGTAAATAGAGAGCCTGTAGGGTGTTCCAGAGGGCCCCAGTGCCTAGGAGAAATCAAAGAGCAACCAGAGACCCTAGCTCCCCATGAAGCAGCTCACAGAGTGACCAAAGAGACAAGATTTACACTGAAGAAAAGATGAGTGTCACAGGCTAAGCTCAGTGCCGTCTCCCAAGCTGGAAGAAGTAGGAACAGGGTGCAGGGTGGACGCTGCTGCACGGCCTGCCTTCCTCCCCTGACCAGCACCTCGGTTTTCCTCTGAGCAACCAGACGCCCACAGCCAGATGCCCAGCTGACCCTATTCACTGGGGAAAGGGCTTCCTCTGCTTTCAAACCTCTCTGTGGGAATCTGAAATCTCACTCTGACCCCAGGGTGGGTGGGAGAGAAGGATATTTGGAACCAGGAGATCTGAGTCCCTATTCTGCTACCCATTGCTCAGCCAGTGGCCTTGGACCAGACACCACTCATCTCCCAGCTCAGTAACCCCACTGCACACAGAACATGGCTGGGCAAGTCCCTGGAAAAAGGGTGTGCACAGAGTGAGGTGCAGGCAGCAGCTACCCTTCCACAAGCAAGCACACCACCACCACCGGAGGCAGATGTCCGTCACTTTCCTAGGGGCCGTGGGTGAAGTCGGGAGCTGAGCACACCAGGAGGCACTCACGCGACTCCCACAGGGCTGGCTCCTGGGAAATGTGTGAACCCTGCCTGACCAATTAGCATATTTCTTCTTCCGGTCAACTGTGACTGGGCGACAGGAGGGGCAGATGATCCAATTCAGACCAGTGAGACCCAACTCAGGGCCTTGGAGGAAACTGAGAAGCAAGAATGTCTTCTGGAGCTGAGAGCTATGGGGCCCAGGGAGGCCTGAGTT